CTTGCTGCTTGGACGGATGCTGTTGGTCCAACTGGATTGGATTCAGATACACGAAAAACTGAATTCAACATTCTTTCAGGCACTTCAATGGCATGTCCTCATGTAAGTGGGGCCGCAGCCTTGCTGAAATCTGCCCACCCAGATTGGAGTCCGGCAGCAATTAGGTCTGCAATGATGACCACTGCCAATACATTCAATAATCTAAACCAGCCAATGACTGATGAGGCCACTGGAAACGTGTCGTCATCATACGATTTAGGTGCAGGGCATCTCAATCTTGATCGAGCAATGGATCCAGGGTTGGTTTATGATATTACCAACAACGATTATGTGAACTTTTTGTGTGGAATTGGATACGGGCCTAGAGTAATTCAGGTGATCACGCGGTCACCTGTGAGTTGTCTAGAGAAGAAACCATTGCCAGAGAACCTCAATTACCCTTCAATCGCAGCATTGCTTCCAAGCTCAGCAAAGGGAGCAACAAGCAAGACATTCATTAGAACAGTCACCAATGTGGGTCAACCGGACGCTGTTTATCGTTTCACAACCCAAGCTCCAAAAGGGGTTACAGTGACAGTGAAACCACCAAAATTGGTGTTCACCGAGGCCGTGAAGAAGCAGAGCTTCATTGTAACCATAACGGCCAACACCCGGAATCTGATGCTGGATGATTCGGGTGCTGTATTCGGGTCAATTTCGTGGTCTGATGGGAAGCATGTCGTTAGGAGTTCCATTTTGGTGACCCAGATAGATCCTTTGTAAACTTCCACTTGGATCATATCTTATGATCGGTAAGGTTGGCTGGCAGATGGTTAAGCTAGCGTTGAGGTAGCAAGAGAGAGTGTGAGGTAGCATAGGTGTAGAATTTGCTACGTATAAGTGTGTGTTGCCACCCTTCTTTCTGCTGGCTGCCAGGTTAGTACTAAGGCCAAGAACTGCTTTTGAGGGATGGTTAGTGTGAGTTCTTTCTTTGTTTTTTCCTGTCCTTGTTAAATTATATCTGTTACCATCCTTTTTTCCATGTAATGTTGTATATGTATAAACTTGACAAGTTTATATAAGCTGATAGATATTAGTTATTTTCTTGGTTGCATTGTTATTATAAAAAGTTGAATTTTCTTGGTTGCATTGTTATTATAAAAATTTGAAAAATAAAAAAATATTATTTAAATACATTTCCTATCAAATTACACTTTACTTTTCAGTGTAAAAGTCTTTGCAGTGTAGAAGTTTGAAGAGTTGAGGAAGAAATCTACTGAAAATGCCAGATGCTGTCAATTCGTAGATTGACCATTGCTTAGATTTGTCGATTTCTAGAGTTTTCTAATGCTGATGTCTATCAAATTTCATTAGATTGCGGCACCGATGCTGGCTTTGGTAAAGCTTTTTTCTCGAATAACACAAGTCATGAAGCATCCGTCCCCAGTAAAGCGTCTGTTAGAAAATTGAATTTTGCTAGTCTCTTCGGTTGACCTCTACTTTTGGCCTTTTGGCCACCGGCTAAAAGCTGGTCGACAAACATGTTATTAACTCTTGTAGAAATGATATTTACTGGGAAATTTATCCGCAAGCCTGTTTCGCTTCCCTAAAAGTGGACCTGACACATGCAGAAGGTGGACGATTCGTGAGATCCCAGGTGCTCTGGTGTTTTATACATACACAAAATAATCTTAAATGCAACTCCTACTGCCTTTCGAAAATCCTGCAACATAGGATAGTAGCAGCAATATATTTGTTGAACAAGGATATTTGTGACTTAAGATTGGATAATATATATTCCAATAGCATAAATGTCTTACATATGAGAGCACCCTTCTTTTCTTCTCTCCCTTTGCTTCATTTATTTCTCCTTTTTCTCTTTCCGAGCTCTTTATCATAGTGCTCCTTGTCTCCACCTTGACAAGCACGTACACCAAGAACTCCGCAGTGAAAATGAAATGTTTCAGTATGCGTCTGAGCAGGTTAACTTCACCGCACTTGGTTTTTGTGATTTATAAAACCCTTAGCAAGGTTTAAGAGACAGGAGAAGACGATGGAAAAGGAATCCATAACTTTTATCTTTTGGAACTGTCTGTCACCTTCCGTGTTGGTCTCCTGCCTCCTTGGATGTTCATTCAGAGGCAAAGTTGCAGATTGATCGACATGGTAAAAGAATCCATAACATTCTAGGATCCGGTTGTTACGCTCACTAATATCATCGTACAATTTTAACCAACATCTTCTTTTTTACTTTCACCATCATCATGTTAACATTATTTTCTTCCTCACCAGAATCATAATCATCTTACCATCATCATCTTTTCTTCCACCTTCACCATAACTACTTCCTTCTTCGTCAACATTATTATCTCACCATAACATTACCACCGCGATGACATTACCTCTACCTGTTTTATTATTATTGTTGTCACCACAGTCATATCATCACTATTTTCTTAATCATCATTATTATGTTACCATCACCTTCTTTTTCATTATCATCACGATTATATTAGCATTATTTTCTTTTCCTCTATTACCATCTTTATTTTCTTACTATTATCATCATTAAAAAATATTTAAAATATTTACACATAAAAATATTTACACAACTATCTTCATCGTCTCACTACTATTTCCATTATTATCGTCATTAAAAAATATTTACACCTAAGAATATTTTTCAAGTTAAACATTAAAAAGTATTATACAATATTTTATATAAAAAATATTTTATATAAAAAATATTTTATGGTTTCATTTATTAAATATTTTATATATTTTATGCGAAACAAACATACCCTAGACATATAATTTAGTATCGTTTCTTAGGTTAAATTCAAATACTTACTAAAATAAAAAAACTCATATTTTCCAACTGATAAATATGATTCCTTGAATGTGCTCTTCTATTAGTATTAGATTGAAAAATTAAGGAAAAAAAATCTATAAAAATCCTCACAATTCCTTTTTATCTCTGCTGGTAAACATATTTTCCAAAGTTGGTGGAGAAAAATAGAGTAATTGGAAGGATTTTAGGGTTTTTTCCCCTTCAATTTCTCAATAGAACCCAAATAGAGCTAGATGTGTATTCAAAGAATAAAAATAAAATCCGGGTTGGAAATCTTGAAAAAAAAATCAGAATTCTTTTCCTAGGAACATCGAATTGACACTTTTTTTCTCGAAATTAATTACCGGAATGACCATCCCTAAAGGAAACCGACCTTTGTATAAGCATTTAATTAAAAAGTAACAAAGGGTATAGAACTGGTGGATCACATTAACGAAATCCGTGCCTGCCATTTTGCCATGTTCATGGGCCAGCCGGAAAGAACTCAATTATTCGAGGCCACATTCCATGGCTAAAACTAATTGGAGCTCGAAAGGCATAGTTTATACTAACTTAGCCGACGCTCCTAGGCTGAACAAAATAAATATCGTCCGGGGAAAGATTTACTTGCAAGTTAATTTTTCTTTTCTATTTTTTTAATTAAAATTTTAGTGCGAGCGTGTATGGTAACGCGGTGAGAGTATATTTTAAAAGTACCGAATCATGCCGACAATTGTGAATTACATTGAAAGCTTCATAAAAAAATCAGAAACTTGGCAGCACTTGATCAGATAAAGTACACGTATTTTTAGATCCAACCAATGAATAAAGATACTGGTGGTGCGCTTCCGTGAAATTGTTTTTGTCGGTGCAATAATATTTATTTTTTAAAATATTTTTTATTTAAAAATAAATTAAAATAATATTTTTTAGTTTTTTAAAATTATTTTTGATATCAACCTATCAAAATAATAAAAATATTATTTAAAATAAAAAATAGTTTTTTAAAACAAAAAATAAAAAACTATACAAACTCAGCCATGAATCCTTGTAAATGACCTATGATTGCAATCCTTACTTCTAATTTATAAGATATTTGAGAGTTTGATAATTTTGTTTTGAAGTGTTTTTTATTAAAAAATATATTAAAATAATATTAAAAATAATTTTTTAAAAATAAAAATAAAAATAAAATTTACCCGACCTCCATTTAAGTGCTTAATTGCATCAATCCTGTGGATAGAGTAGGCCTGCGAGCTTGAAACCACAAATCGAAGTGAAATCTAGCTTTCAATAAGATCTTATATGCATGCAATATTATAACTCAAAACGCCTTCAATATTATATGCCTGCATCTTCCATGACATAAAATTATATTATAGGAAGGAACACCTCTTCCGCCCCCTAATAGGCAGGATGTTTTCGACTTAATTTTTTATATAACAAGATAAGTTCTTTCGCGTCCGAATCTTGCATGAGCTATCGTTATAGTTGCTATGTTTGCAAATAATATTTTGTTCACAATATCTTTAAATTTGGACCCAAAGTAATAATGCAGAGGATAAATAGCTAAATTGCTAAACCTGGGTAGATCCAAAATCTCAAATAAGATATATACCTAATCACATGTATTTGCTTGTTTTTTTTTGTTTTTGTTTTTTTTTTGTTTTATGTACCATTGATATTTTTTTTTAATTTAATAGGATTATTAAACCTAATTAAATCAATAATTAAATTTCAGATCTTTCTTACTTCTTTAAAAAAATTAGCACTGTTTGAATTTTTTTATTAAAAAAATAACTAGACTCATGATACAATACAGTCCATCTATCTAATATGTTTCCATCCAATATATATGAATATTGTCTTTTAATAGTAAAAATAGATGTGTGGTCTTTAATAAATATTTATATTTAATTACGAGGAAGTTAATAGAATTTTTGTTTAAACATTTTTGATTTTAGAAGATTTTTGTTTAAACATTTTTTATTTAAAAGATATTAAAATAAAACTTCCAGTTTTTTTTATAGTTTTAAAGTAATGACATAAAATATAAAAAAAATTATTTTAATATATTTTAAAGTAAAAAGATATTTTAAACCCAAGCACAGCTACTCTGCTAAATGTCAAGAAATTCATAGCACAAAACTTGACAGCCATACATTTGAGGCTCACCTAATCAACAATCGGCACGCATTTGCATCGCATTCAAGACATGAAATTCAGTAGCTTAAGTTGGTACAAATCGTCTCAGATTCAAGCACTTGTCCAGCAGAGTATCAATTCATCATCATCCAAAGAACTGACAAGTGACATGAAACGGTACTCACACGACCAGCGAAAGCCACGAATCTCTACAGGTTCCTCGAAACTCCCGGCCGACACGGCTTCTATTTCCTTCAATCTGAAGATTACAGAACCGTTAAATCCCCCCTAAGATCTCTCACTGCTCGTCTACACTAAAACATCAAACCTAAAAAGAAACAAACTTGCTTACCAAATGTCATCTCCAAAGCGCAGCTCTCTTTACCCACAAGTTATTCTCTCAAACCCAGAAGCCATTTCTGCCACTTCTTCTACTCCATCCTCTTTGTATCCTACTATTGGCATGAAAGAATTGGCAGAGAATCTCTTCCCTGAAGACGACAACAACAACGACTTAGGTTCGCCGCTGGGCTCAAACTCTGAACCCCATGAAGAAGTCCTGATCAAGATTTCAGGATCAATAGTTCATTTGATTGAGAGAGATCATAGCGTGGAACTGGCTTGTGGGGATTTCTTTATAGTGAGTCTGAAACAAGGTGACACTATTGTTGCTGTTTTTGCTCGTGTAGGTGATGATATTCAGTGGCCTCTGGCTAATGATGAGGCAGCAGTAAAGCTTGATGGATCACATTATTTTATCACTCTTCGGGTGCCTGGAAATGAAGCAGATAGGGGTGAGTTAAATAAGGGAGAAGTTGAGTTGTTGAATTATGGGGTTACTTTTGCTTCGAAAGGACAAGAGGGTTTGTTGAAGGAGTTAGATAAGATATTGGAATGTTATAGCTCGTTTTCGGTGCAAGAAGTGAAGGAGAGTGGAGGGAAGTGGGAGGTAGTTGATGGGAGCGTAGCGGAGAAGATATCCCCGGATGAGTTAGAGAAGAAGAAAGAATTGACGGAGAAGAGTTCTGCCGCGTATTGGACAGTGTTGGCTCCTAATGTGGAGGATTATAGCTCAAGTGTTGCTAGGTTGATTGCGGCGGGGTCAGGGCAGTTGATCAAGGGAATTTTATGGTGTGGAGATGTGACTGTGGATAGGTTGAAGTGGGGTAATGAGTTCTTCAAGATAAGGATTGACAAGAGTTCGGATTCAGATATCAGTCCAGGGACTCTGAGGAGGATCAAAAGGTTTGGTTTCACCGTTGATTATTGGTTTAATTTTTTATTATTGGGTTTCAATTCTAATTTTTTAAACATTAAGCTATCTAGTTTTGCTAATTTTTTTAAGAAATTTTATTGTTATGGCTGATCTCATCATTCTGTCTGTGGACTTTGTATGGTTATAACAGAAGCAGCATTCTCTTTGATTTTTGGAGTTGCATAAATGCTTTTTGATATGCATATTGGTGCTCACCTCTGAATTTTAAAGATGTAAATAATTTTTATTATGTTCGTTTCCCCTCCCCTCATTGGTTCGTGTAAATTAATATTAAGTAGTATGTATTGATTCATGATTTTATCGCGGGATGTTTGCAGGGTTAAGAAGTTGACGAAAATGTCGGAGGGAGTGGCTCTTGGAATTCTTACTGGGGTTGTGAAAGTCTCTGGATTCTTTACGAGTCCAATTGTGAACTCTAGAGTGGGCAAGAAATTTTTTAGCCTAATGCCAGGAGAAATTGTTCTTGCTTCCTTGGATGGATTTAGTAAGTGATTCGTTCGCAATTGTTTGGTTTGTTTTTCCTCGATTTGTGAGGTTGTCAGAACTGTAATCCGACTCACAATACTGTTTCCTCCGCGTGCCATTTCTGTGCTTGTGCAGACAAGGTGTGTGATGCTGTTGAAGTTGCTGGAAAGAATGTCATGTCAACCTCGTCAATTGTGACAACTGGACTTGTCTCACACCGGTATATCTCAATCTAATTCTTAAAATTGATGCTCCACTTGAATAATCGTTTATCACAATAAACTTTATCATCAGTTTAATTGCTTTTTTTCTTTTGGCACTATACTCCAATTGTTTTCATTCAAACAAGTGTAATGTTGCTGGCGAGTTGGAATTAAAAGCTGTGGTGATTCTGTTCCTCTATGGTGCATTTTTTATTTTTCTATAAGGTTGTTGGTTGCTTTAGAGGCAGGTCTTGTTCCCCTGATCTGGGTATCTGGCCAGCAGTGGCAGGATAGTCTTGGATGAGATTTTAGACAGGATACATAGTCTGAATCGAACATTTAACTTTCTATGCTTATACATGACTTCTCATTTGATGCTATGATTGGATTTTTCTTTTACAGATATGGAGAAGAAGCGGGGAAGGCAACAAATGAAGGGTTTGATGCTGCTGGTCATGCTATTGGTACTGCCTGGGCTGTCTTCAAGATAAGAAAGGCTCTTAACCCAAAGAGTGTCTTCAAACCAACAACTCTTGTAAAAGCTGCTGCACGGGCAAATTCCACTGGAATGAAGGCTAAAAATATACCAATTGAAGACTGAAGACAACTAATCTTCTACTTGTTCTTTTTTTAACGAGGAGGAAATCCCACAAGGCTGCTTTTTAGTTTGTTGAGTTTGTAATAGCTTGTCAGGGAATGTAAATCTCTTTATGTATGTGTTGATTTCGTTTTACTTCTCTAATGGATGATTTTAAGGGATCAAGTTTTGTGTATTATTCGTTTCTTTTACCTGGATGTCAGCAGCGAAGGCTTTTCTTACCTGGCACTAGCACAGAATAAGAGGTGAATTGGTGGCTGACAAAATGAAATCTTTGTCTCAAATATCTTGTAGATTGAGAAAGATACATCAGTCCTTACTGGACTCTTAGAAGTACAATATACATGTACTTATTGACACAACTGACGAATCTAGTTTGCTTACAAAATTCACTGCTTGAAATGCGTGTAATCAATTCATTGCTCTCTCTCTCAGACCTCAGTAACTAGATTTAAATATGGCTTGTAAGTTTAGAGATCCAACACAATCCCGGCAACAGAGCCAACAGCTGCAGCTACGGTGACCACGAGGCAACTCATACTGAAAATCGGAAGCCCTAGCCAATGGCTCGTCTATCGCCCGATCTTCTTCTGAGAATAATGCATCTCGATGGACAATAGACCTGCAAGTGCACTACGGAAAGATCAACGTGAAACTTGAATCTTGTCATAGATTCATGACTTGTAAGGTCATTACTGCTTGAAAAATATCAAACCTGATAGACACCAACAAGGTGAACGACGATTGCAACATTGGCAATGTCTAATAGCCAATAGGGGTTGTAGAATCCAAAGCCAGTCAAAAGATTTCCTAGGGCATAATTTCCAAAAGCTGCATTAGCCCATGCATCCACAAAGTAACTAGAAAACTGTTGTTATAATCATGCTAAATAAAGTTGCTTTCTTCGTGCTAATTTTTTTTTGTTATAACACGGTTTCAAACCGTTTCTAAATGGGGCTAAATGTTACTAGCTAGATGTGGTGTTTTTGCATGTGATGTAATTTGAAGCACAATGATTACTTTTATATATGTATTGAATTGATTGTGCTACAGAGTTATTTTTATTTAAAAATATATTAAAATAATATTTATATCAACCCACTGCAATCCACCGCACCAGCGATGTTGCAGGGTGGCTTGTGAATGGGGCACGGTTCCTTTTGTTATGCGGAGGAAGTGTGAAAAGAGAAGAGATTACGTAAACAGCCATTGTGGATTAAAAGCCTAAGGTAACTAAATTTGTGGCAAGTGAATGCAAGTTGCATAAACTAACCAAATAATCTAAATAGCTAAAAAGCACAAACCATTAATCCTAACTGTCACTAAGCCCAGGAGGTGTCTGACAAAGTGATCTTAAAAAAGAAGCATTTAAAAAAACAAAAGGAATTCTTCTTCGCTACTCAAACAAAGCAGAAAAAAAGAAGAGAAGCAGCTAATCTCTTGGAGTCCTCACAAAAGCACCAGGACAGTGTTTGCTTGCTAGCTGCCCCCCTGCAAAAGCAATATCTAAGCTTGTGAAAAAAACAACGATTGCTAAGCACACATTCAGTAGCACTATGTGCATGGAGTTACTGAAATTAATGAAGAGAGAATTAAGTGAAGGGTAAACATATTTTGAAGCCGAAGAAATGCAAGCCACTGGAAGCTATTGCTAATGACTAAAGGCATGCAATACGAGTACTCACATTTGCTTAACCCCCAGTTATTTTGCCTTTCGTTGCAACCGATTCTTGATTAAATGCTTTCAAATCTCTCCTTTTTTTTCCCGGCCTTCTATTCAAATGGTGCATTCGACACTGCAGGCATTAAAAAATAATAATTATTTTTTTATATTTTTTAAAAATTATTTTAATAAAAATAAATTTTACAAATTAAAAATATTATTATTATTATTATATATTTTTAAATAAAAAATATTTTAAACTGCAGTCACTGTTATATTCCAAAAAGCCCACAATATATATTTTAGAAAATAATCAACGGCAACACAGTGGACATCATGCCAGTTTACAACTAAAATTACAAGCATAAAGACAAAATAAGATTTCAGGGTATGAAATTGGGTGCATTATAAGACTATATATATTATGGTAGCATGTCATTTTTATCAAGATTTATCCACAAATTCACGAATAAACTGTTTTTGCAAGATTCATGATCCTAAACATTTGACTGATTAATTTTTATTTTATTTTTTTATGAAAACCAGATTGATTTCATATGGGCGAGTTGGCTACATTTGGTCTCTTCCAACAGGAGGAGCAGTGAACATCGTTACCATTCAAGGCTATCACAAACCCTCAACAGAGGCACCACATTTTCAATTCGAGTTGGTCCAATGCAGCCCAACACATTTCTTTTTTCTTGATTTAAATCTCTCTTTTCTGGCGGGCAGTTACAGAGAATTTTTTATTTTTTTCTAAATTACTGTGACAACTGTCACTACTAATCATTTCCCTACAAAATAGGAGCACCCCGTTTGCGTGCATTTTCGAGAGGCCTATATATTCTCCTCTCTCTCTTCTCTCCCTTCAGTCTCCCTACTCTCAATTCATTTATCAAACTCATCAATGGCGGAAGGTATGATAGCTGAGAGCTGCCTGCACCATAAGGTAGAGATGGTGATATTTGAGGCTGCCAGAGCAATTACAAAGCTTAGCAATGTCAAAAGCCTTGAATCTACTCCAGCAGTTACTGCTCTCCAGCTCCTTTCGAGCTCTTACAAGCAAGGACTAAGATTTGCAGCTGTCCAAGCTCTTAACAAGGTCGAATGAATTTATTATAAGTTCTTTTTTTTGGTGTTTGTTGTGATGTTTATATTATGACTATTTCATTTATATTTTATCAAAAATTTTATTTTTTGATCATGTAATCTTGTATTTCTTAAATTATAATATACTTGTTAAATTGTGATCTTGTATTTTTTAAATGATAATTTTGTCCAAGTTATTAACAAGTTCTAATGATTTTACTATAAGTATTTTTTTTTTTAGTGTTTTATTGTACTGTTTATGTTATGACCATTCCATTTGCATTTTATTAAAGGTTTTATTTTGTGATTTTGTGTTTTTTAAATCAGACACAAATTCTGATCTTGTGTAATTTCTTAAATTATTTATTTGTTGTTCTGATCAGACACAAATCTTCGTGAAAACTCTCTCTCGCAAGAATATAATCCTTGAGGTGGAAAGCTCAGACACCATTGACTGTGTCAAAGCTAAGATAGAGCATCAGGAAGGTATCCCCCCTGGCCAACAGATACTCATCTTTTCAGGGAAGCAGCTTGAAGATGAACGCACCCTTGCTGCTTACAACATTCAGGAGGAGTCAGCCCTTCACTTGGTGCTCCGACTTCCAGGTGGCATGCAGATCTTTGTGAAGACTTCGACTGGAAAGACCATTGCCCTGGAAGTTGATAGCTTGGACACCATTGGCAATGTCAAGGCCAAAATCCAGGATAAAGTGGGGATCTCACCAGATAAATCAACGCTGCTATTTTCTGAGAAGCAGCTTGAAGATGATGGAAGGACCTTATCTGACTACAACATCAAGAAGAAATCGATTCTTGAGCTTCAAGAGATCCCAGGCACAAAGCGGAGCAAAAGGTTAACAAAGGGAGGCAGAATCCAGAAATACCTTCCAAAGCTGGTGGATCTTGATGGCGAGATGAAGGCAGGAAAGACACGAAGGCAGCTTCGATTTCGCAAATTACAACAAAGTATGAGTATGCTGGCGGAATCGGAGAAGAATCAGCATATAAAGCTGTGTAGGCGTATTATTAGAGGTGCCCGGAAATACACAGCAGCTTTAGTGGAAGAGAACGAAGTGGAGGCGAGACGAAATGAGCACATGGATCACATGCAGAGAGCAGTGAATATGAAGGGTAACGAGAAGGTCAATGTGCTGGTTCACAGCGATAAAGAAATCAACTCTCTTGAAAAAGCTTTTAAAGAAGCTCCAAGTGGTGTACGAATACTTTTACCGAAAACTCGTGTTTACAATGGGATTCAACGTAGAGCTAGGGGGAAGGGTTTCTGCACTTGGAGGGTGTGAAGGGAATCGACTTTGTTAGGGCGTACTTTTTTTTTTTTTTTTTTAACGATTAGTCCTAGCTGCTGTATGAAACTAGGAATGTTGCTAGTATAAGAATGAAGGCATGTTGCGGGTGAAGTTCGTGGGCAAAATGCCTCTGTTGCTGGTCATTTTAATTTGGCAAAGGTGTTTTTTTGGGCCAGGTTGGTGTAAGAATAAAAGGAGGTCAGGCCTCTCATTTGAACACAATCATTCATTAGGGCTATTCTTCCATTATAGGCTGAGTTATGAGTCCACGGGCCGGGGTTAGGAGGCACAATTCACATGGTTGGGAGGAACCCATTCTTAGCCTGAGGCAGTGTTTGGTTGTGCAATATCTTACAAAGAAAAAAAAATGTATTTTTTAGTTTTTTAGAGCATGTTTGACAAATATATTCTAATAAATTTTTAACAGTTTTCTTTAATAATTTTTGTTTTTTTTGCCAAATAAACCCAAAATGATTTTATAAAATTATAAAAAAAATTCTAGAGATCATTTTACAATTAGTTGTGGATACTCAACATGTTTTCCAATTATTTTTTTAAATATTTGAGCTATAGACTTACACTACTTTTCTTCAAAATTTAATAAAAATTCCTTATTAAAAAACATGCTTTTATTCACGAGCATACGATCAAATTCTAGAAATTTTCATATATATTTTATAAAGAAATAAAAATTATATTTTTATTTTCACAACCCATTTTTAGGTTCTTCCTGTCAAATTTATCATTTTTCCTTATAAAAATAAAAAATAAAAAGCAATAATAATAAAAAGACTAGCAATTTAGCAAAATCTGACCGAGGAAGGTTTTAAATATATATAGAAAAATTAAGCTAGAGTTTTGGATAAAATTGAAAGCCTAATTATGTCCCATCATACCTAATATTAAAAAGATAATATAGATTCAAAGTTAGATTAATTAATTAATGGACAAATTTGTATAAACTTTAAGTCTAGAAACATAATTAGATTTTTAGTAGGCCAATTTAATTTAATTATGATAAAAATTAAAAGATTTAATTAGGTGCAAGAACTTAATTATACTTTTAATAGGTCCAATTAATTTTATTAGGGAATTAATTGCAGATAAATAAAATTTAAAAGCCCAATTTGGACTTAATTGAGAAGATTGAAATTTTAAAGGGTTAAATTTAATTTTTACAAAGTTAATTGATTGAAATCAAGAATAAAATTGTAAGAAAATCAAAGTTTAAGGTCAATTAATAGTTAAATTTACAAAGTTAATTGATATCTTAAAGAACTCACCATAACCACCATTATCCTTGATTTGGATTCAAGAAAAAGACTAGTCAACTATGATTATATATAAAACACTTTAATAAACATGAAATAACTTGAATCAAACTAAAATAATAAGTTTTACAAATTAAAAAACTGAAATCTATAAAGAAGAACACAATATAATTTCAGTAAAAATTCTAACACAAATATGATGCTAACTTTGGACAGTAATTCAATCATTTTAGAAGCCTTTTTTAGAGATGGTTATGCAGATATATTTATAGGCAATTTTTTTAGCTTTCTAATTCAGTAAAGAACAACTCATTTTGACATCTGCATCAAAAGTTATGGGCATAACATCAATTAGTGTTTCGAAAAATCAAATCAGGCCAGCTTGGAAACCACTTTGATGCACATTTTTTTTTCTTCCTTTATGAGTTGTTTTTTTCTTCTTTTTGACCTAAAATAATATAATAACATCCTTTCCAGCTTTTTATACATGTGCTTGCCCTCTTGGATCAATGAATTACTCAAAATAAATCAAATGTTATTTGTTGTGTGGATATATAAGATAATGAATTGTGTTTGGGCTGATTTAAAGGCTGATTTGAGGCTGAATTTAAGCATCATATAAGGATAAAAATATACATATTATTTGGGCTAAGATTAACATTGAAACTTTGAGTGTTTGATGGTTAAAGTTTACACACAACAAAAATCAAGTTTGGGCTTAAAAAAGATCATATGATAATCTTTTTTAGGATTAGAATAGAGTTGATTTTTGGAGCAAACTTAAAGCACTTGTTTGAATTAAGATTTGCTTTAATCTTTAACTAAATTTCTCTTCAAATCTTTTTTTTGAGTTCCGATGTTAAATTTTCTGAAATAATTCATTTAAACTCCAAAAATCTATTAAAACATTAAAAAAAAAAATACATTACTAAAAAGCACATTAATTATTATAAAAAATCCAAATAAAAACAATATATACATATGTAAAATAAGAGATTTAATGACACTTTTGATTCACAATCACACCCCCCAACTTAGATTTTGCTAGTCTTTTAGCAAAGTAAAACATAAAACCTTTGAAATAAAAAGAATAATATTAACTATAATTAGGTTTGACTCATCACACTTGAAGGACCTATCATGCAAATATTTGTATTTTCAACTTAGTGTATACACAATAATGAATAAAAAAAATAAACATACTCACATTCTCTAAATCAAATATCCATACAAAATTTCAAATTCAATCATATTTATCATATAACCAAAATAATTGATTCATGTGAAAACTCAACTTGTAATTTTTCCTTGTCACCACTACAAACAAGATAGCAAACTAGAGAAATATATATATATATATATATAT